TCAGCCCATGAGAACAATTTGTGCCTTGAATTTGTGCCTCCTCACATAGATATAAATGACTGACACATCTCTCACAGGATTTTGGCAAGTTCAGCCTGATCTGAAATAAAGTATAGAATCCCTGATATGAAGGGAAATACAGTTAATGGGATTTTTGGCACTGAAAGGCAGAAAGGGAGCAGGACCCTGTGAGTGTGTGGAACACAGAGCTGGTTGTTGAAAACTGCAAATAGAAAATACATCATAGATCAAGTAGTTTTAGATTAATATATTATTATTTATATACTTGGAAGGTTATCTAGAAACAGTGGTCCCTTGCTTCAGTTTCAGTGAAGGATGGTCTAAGAGTATTTTAAAATAATATCTCTGTTTCTTCTGGTGAAGAGAATGCTGCAAAAGCCTTAGGAAGCTTAGGAAGGATTTGCAATTCCCATGGAACTCTGATATACATAAGGCCAAATGGGAGAACGGAGTAGAGATGTCCAGGCTGTTCTCAGGGACTTGGGCAACCAGATTAAGTTGTGATCCCAAAATCTAAGAATTTGCTTTTCACTTGTAGGGGAAAAACCCTTTCTGTGTCAGGCACAGGGATGTGGTCGCTCCTTTGCTGAATATTCCAGTCTTCGGAAACATTTGGTTGTCCACTCAGGTAAGAGTCTTCATCTGACATTCTGAGATCTGTCTGAAAAAAAACCTTTATTGTAGGACTTTGATTTGATTTCCTAAAGAAAAATCCTGGTTTCTACAGAGCTTCTGGTCATAGTGTTTTTTGACTTCCCTTTGTGGTGCCTGTAGCCCGTACACTTTAATTTTTTAGTTTGTGTCTATTTCTAAACTGAAATTGCATTGAAAATTTTTTTTACAAATTGTTTCTAAAATGTCATGAAGTTGAATATCTTTTTCCTAGCTGCCATTTGGTTATTTAAAAGAGAGAGTCTAGCATCTCTGTGTATTAACTACAGCCATTTGAATGTGAAATCTTTCAAGTGGGTTTCTGCCATTGGTAGGGTTTTCTGTTATTTTTTCCTACTACATACTTTTAATTGGACAAAGGTTTAGGTGGAAATGTATTTCACAAGTGTTTCAAATCTTCTGCCTTCTGTTTTGATTGCTCTATCTTATATATCATCAGCACACAATCAAAATTGTACGTTTGGTGAATGGGAGATATTATTGAAGTAACAACATTTGGGATTGAGCTCTCCATGCTTTTTCTGTCCTGTCTTCTTGGCTTCCATGCCATTGAGCCAAGAAGTATGGACAGCCTGCTTGTACTGTGAAAATGATGAACTGCTCTGTAAAATGAAAATCCTTTCACAGTGACAAGTCATCATCAAGTCTCTGCTCAGTAATGTAAACCAGATGCTGCAATTAATTGTGTGATGGCAGGAGACAGCTTCCTTGCCTCTGGTCATTTTATTCTATATGTGGGACATCAAGTACTTCCATATCAATAAGTAAATTATTTCAAATAACTTGTTCCCTCTCATCAATCTGACTTGAAGACTTTGTAACTCTTCAGACTTGAGTTATCCAACAGCTGCCATTACTGATATCTAAACCTCTTCTGTTCTAGAAGCTTATGGCCCTCCAGGAGATGGGAATATGTCTCATTTGGTTTTTACTGATAAATTACCAGCAGTGGTATTAACAGCCATTTCAAAACTGTTATTAGTTTCTTAGTTGATGAGGTCTCTTCTCCCAGTTTGGTAATTCTTGGGATATTTCTTCCCCCTTTGACTCCAAGGAGTGAAGCCCCATCAGTGCCAAATTTGTGGGAAGACATTTTCCCAGAGTGGTAGCAGAAATGTGCATATGAGGAAACACCACTCCCGAATTGGAACAGCTGGCAGCAGGGAGCGAGAACAGCCAGGTAAAGAAGGGACCACATGCACTCTGGGGAAAAGTGCCGAAAAAAATTAGTGGATGGTCAAAGAAAAGATGTCTGTCCTGATAATATGAGACCACAAGCCAGTAAGAAACAAAAGTCTGTTCCTCTTAGAGATAAGGACTGCTTACCCTTCCCTTTTCAAGGACAGAAGACAAAGGTGTATTTTTGTATGGTGGTCAAGGGGTAGATATGTTTATTGTTTTCAAAATCAATATGAATCTAGTTGGGGTTTTTTTATGTGGATTTTTTCCGTTGGTTATGTTTTCTTGTTGCAAGCAGCCTGCATTTTTACACAATGTGAATTTTAAAGAGAAAGCCAATCCTGCATAAGATCCCACCATAGTAAGGTTCAAAACAATAAACATAGTATTTTCCATCCATTGGAGCACTGGCTGCCCAAAGAGTAGGAATGGATAAAGTAGGTGTCGAGGGAAGAATTTAGTATGACTTGAAGTGGGGCAGGGATAGGATTGTAGGATAGAATTGTATCTTATATTGCAGTGTAATTGCATCATGGGAATTCTTTTACCCTTTTTTTTCATAATAGAGTCACTGATGGGCAGCAGTTTGCTGGAAGAATCAACGGTGCATAATAAGAATCTCATCTCCATGAACTCTCAGCCCAGCCTTGGTGTTGAGTCTCTGCACCTGCCAGACACTGAGTCAATTATTGGAGTAGAAGAGGGTGAGACCAGCTGCTCTTTTTTCCGCCCTCTTATATGTGGTGACTGAGATGGGATCAATCATTCCTCCTTGAGGCTCACCATATTGCAGTGGGATGAATGAACATTGCTTTAACTGTGCACAGAGGGGTGGGTAGATAGTGGATAAATCCTAAAACTGGAGTTGGAGAAGATCTGCTGGACCAAGTTTCTCTCTTGCAGAGCTTGAAAGGTGAAGTCTGCTTAGGTGTCACTTAGCCCATGTTGTGGAACGCCATTTCAAAACTGCTTATGCAGTCCATCTCCTAAAGCCTAAAGTGTTTGTTTTGCTGGAGCACCTAGGAGCCCCAGCTAAGGACCAGGACCTCATTGTGCTAGGCACTGTTCAAATATTCAGTATCTTGAGCAACAGGCCGTCCTTCCACCCTTTACCTTCAGAGACTATATTCTAATACATCTCACTGTCAGAAGCTGACTTACTATATGAAATAAATGTACTACTTGATATCATTTGGTTACATTTGCTGTGTTCTGTTCCTGCTTTTCCCAATCATTTTTCTCCAAAATGTTTTTGGTATATCAAGCTCTTTAAATGAGTCTTCGACATGGTGTTCTGAATATTTTCTTACCTTAAGGAGCCTTCACAACTGGCATTACTGAGAATGGAAAGTTTTGCTAAGGTACTGTGTATCTGTAATAGCTTCCATGCAAAGGGAATACCTAGAGTTTATATTGCTCCCTAGCTGAATGGAAAGTTAGTGCTGCTGCTGGTTATAGGTATTGTAACCTGGAGGTTCCTGCAGAAGCTCCACCAGGTACCTGGAAATCAAAGTCTGATGCAGTTTGGCTGCCATCTCAGCAATGGATGGGAGATACTCCAGTGAGATGTCTTCTTTTGAACAGTATTTTTGTAGGTTAGCTGAACAGGTGTAAATCTTGTAACTGAATATAATCAAATATTTTCATAAAATGCAAAAATCCAGAACCATAGTTGAAACTCTTTATTTCCATACAATTTTTGAGACATATTAAGAGACTACAGCTCTCTTTTAGGATTACAGAAATGTAATCCTCCTTTCAGAACAAAACTTTGTTTAGCAAGAGAGATGTGAGTTTCAGTTACGTAGTTTGATGCTTTTACTTTCATCGCATTTCTGCAATTTCAGTTTAGGGACCAATATGAAAGCTTTAATTTATTTGTTATTATATTCATGCATGTCTCCTTAGTATTTGTTAAAAGGATATGGCATAATAATTTAAACTTTTGTTCCTCCTTTCTTAGGGTTTCCCTTTTCACTTCACATACTTGGAAATTTCTTGTTTTCAGCACCATTATTATGGAACTCAGCAACGAATTTTAGTAAATACCCTTTAAAATGCATGTATTAAAATTTCAGTCCCACTGCTCCAAATATATCCATAAGAGGCTTTAAACCATAGACTTAGAGCATGGAAGTAATCTTCTTTCCTTACTCTTTCAATGTAGCAAGGCACAGTGACAATATGGTCACTGTGGAACAGCCTCTGGATATCCTACACAATTTAACCTGTGTAGGAACTGGTACACTGGTAACAGCCTTTCTGGAATCCACCAAGGAGCTTAAGCCTGTTCTCAGTGTGGAGACTGAGTCACTAATGAGGATGTTGCAGTTCGGTGCATTTAGCCTGTAACATAGCAGTGTGAAACCCCTGGACCTCAAATCCTTGGATTTAGTAATTTGTTATGATTAAAAATGTCATTACTTCAGTTTTATATCTTTGTCTAATCTGGTAGCTCTGACAGGTACTGTATTTCTGACTTGATGATAAGGCTGTGTCATTACAATGTAAGGAAAAAGGACTGAGGTGACAAAAAGAGACACATCTTGTATTTAAGTAAGTGAGGAAAAGATGACTGATCAAAAAAATTGAGCAATACAGAAACATTATATCTATTTGAAAATATTTTAATGTCAAAGTGCAAAATTCTCAGAAAACATTCCAGGTGGCAAGGACTTTTATTTTTTAAATGGTTATTAGTGTCAGGCAAAGGGAGATCACTACAGTGTGAACTACGCCTTTCAAGATGCACCAGGCATTTGAGTGCAACCTCCTGGCAGGCAACACTTTTTTCTAATCTTTTTTCTTCCAAAATCTATCTTTGATATCACAGTAATCATACAATTAGGACAACAATAATTCAAAGTGATGCATTCAAAGTGTTTAATTACAACCTTCATAACTTTGGTTGTTTTTTGGACCAAATTAATGACCTAAATTGGAAAGATGTTGAAACACTTTCAAATCATGAAACATGGGAGATTTTTTAATATAGGAAGACTATTGCTTCTTACTAATGACCTAAATTGGAAAGATGTTGAAACACTTTCAAATCATGAAACATGGGAGTTTAATATAGGAAGACTATTGCTTCCTATATTAAGGAATATTCCTATATTATGGGGGGAAGAAGCAAAGCTGGTAGTTGGTGAATGAAGAATTAACACCAGAGAAAGACTTCCCTTTGAGTCTTCTCCCAAGGTGGGTCAAATCCTGATATTTGTTTTTGTAGAAGTACCTTGTTTGAAAGCATTCTACCACAGATGTGTCTAAAAAAAGGTTTAGTACAGTAGAAGGCATTCTCCCTTTCCTGTGTGCTTCTGTGGCATGAATGCAAGGAGCTGACACTAGAGGATGCACCTCTTCAATTTTTCATATCTACTTTTATCCAAAGATAGTGCTTCAACCTCTCTAAATTGTTTTGTTGCCCATTAAAGGGAAGGAGCTCACTCAAGGGACACTTTTGAAGACTAAGGGAGGCTGCAGGGTTTGCTGGGCTGAACAAAACGTGCTCTAAACAACAGTTGATTTTTTCCCTTTACTAAATTCTCCCGTCTCACCCCACAGCAATTCTTAGGTGTCAGCTTAAACTATTAAGCTCCTGAGGATTAACCTGGAGAATCTTGAATAAAAAGAAGTCAAGAACTGACAGATGGATTCTTCTGCAGGCTTTCATGTTGCCACTCCCTTTGCGCTCAGTTCCTCCTGAGGTACTCCTTCCTGTTCAGTGCAGTCATCCTTTTCACCCCAAGGCTCGGGCAGCCTGCAGAAACAGTGATGGGCTAATACCAGAAATGCTTGGCCCCGTGCATATGAAATAGGGTGCAGTCACAGGAATTCAGAGAGAGAAGCCACAATGCTTAATAACAGCAGTGAAGTTAATTTAATTTTTCCTACATTAGATTATAGAAACTGGAATGCATTCATGAACAAGGAAAATATTTTTAGTCACAGACAAAAGAGCTGTACTACATTGTTTTTATTACCTGTGAACATCAGATTCTTCTTCCAGCAAGTCAGTGGCATCTTTCCCTTTTTTCCTTACAAATTCTTCACTGAGGCCAACCTGCTGGAGGGTGCGTCTGTAGCAACGCTCTGCTCCTTGACGAGCATCATGCTGTGAAATCGAAACTTAAACAGTAAATGCACAGAACTGGGGATTCCCCGTAACAGTCAACTGGTTTTGAAGTGTACATCTGACGCTCCTAAAGGGGACAAGAGGACAACACAACCTCCTGTCCAACATTTTTGTAATCCATAAAGTACAGTACCAAAACTGAACACTAGGACAATGTCTCACATCTCCCAAAGCCAGAGCTCGCATTTTCCTGCTTCAGTTCTTTTTTTTTTTTCTTCTTCTGTTCTCCTCATTCTACCACATTCCAGTCTTACCAGACTGGTATACTTGTGTCTGAGTCCTAACTCTGACGCTCAAATCAAAAACATGTGCAAAACCCAAGTTATGTGAAATCCTATAAGCACATTAGCTTGTAAGTGATAAGAACTAACAACAGTGAAGTTAATACATGGAGAGTGCCTGTGAAATAGCTTCATATCAGCTCAAGTGAAAGACAAGCATCTTGGGTCCTATATCCTCATTGCTTCCAAATGAACCTTGCAAATTAATGTAGTCTGAGATTAGGGTTTTCCAGAGGGACTGGCCAGTCCCTAAAGATTAAGGTGTTCTATATGGAAGGATAGAAACCTAGTATGAACATGAGTAAATACTATTGATAATGGTGAATTCTTACAATCTAGCACACGGAAATATTACCAGTATTTATCACACATGTGTGTTCTCTGCCTCCATTATCAGAACAGAAAGCCTGATCCAGGAGGGTACTTTCTTGAGAAATTTTAAATCAGCATATTGTCACTGTCTCTAACCAGCTGCAGTTCCTGCAAGGAAATGAAAGCGAAAACCCAGGGAAAAAGTTAGAGTACACACTGTATCTACACCTCAGGTGCAATAGAGATTTGCAGCTGGTACTGTGTGATGGTTGAGATGTGCTGAATGCAGCCCCATATTGCAAAGCCTACAGGTAATAAAAGCGACATAACCATCATTAATGTTCTTCTGTAGCAGTACAGGTACAAAGAAAAAGTGCTCAACCTGGAGAGGGTTTAAGAAAAAATTTTGCATCTCCAAACTGTAGTCTATGGTATTCAGGTGCAGAATAGGTATTTATTTAATTTCTGGTGTGATAAGGTCTTGATTTTGATCAGAAAATATACTGTGATTGCAATACATAATAGGAACTGGCAAGCTCCTAGAAATAAGCCTGAATGTTTTTTTCAGGGAAAAAAATAGGAAGGAATTTAAAGTATTCTTTGGTGGCTTTTCCATGTGTTATTTTGAGTGCAGCCCAGAGACTATGTGACTGTACCTTCTCATCCATTAATTAATTTGAGACTAGATTTCTTAATGCCTGTCTTAAATGAAAGACAATTTATCCTATTACCCAGAAACACTCTGGGACTTTGATCAGTTACCTTGGTGACCTGTTCAAAAAGGAATGGTCTGCTCTTGACTCGCAGCTTAATTTCTTCCAGCTCCTTTCTGTATTCTTTTGTTCTGTCTTGCATATTTTGCCTGAAATGGAAAAATTGCCTGTCTACTATAGGTTACCTCTGACTGTAGCTGATCAGGAATGATGAATTCTCAGTGAGTGTTCCATTCTTTAAATCACTTTGGTAATTCTCTTGATTCTGAATTCTGGGAAAAAAACCCTATTGCCGACAAGTTATGGACCTATTGGCAAAGCTTTTCTAGACTGCAAGCAAGAAACTGTGTTCACATTTTTAGAAAAACTTGTCTCTTATGTGTTCTTTACCAAGCTACACATTACAGTTGACTGGCTTGTACAAATTAGTTTCTACAAACATTAAAGGAGATGGTTCTGTATGGAAGGAGAAGTGTGGAATTGTCAAGATATCCAAATGAATGTGGAATGGATACAATAGCCAAAAAAGGTTAGGCTAGGAATGTTTTTAGACCTAATCTGTCCTAAAGAATTATCTGATGATCTTCATCAATTGCAAACAGTTATTTTTGTGCAGAGTAGGATACTGACCTATTCTGTTTTGACTTCTCCTTTTGTGTTTCCTCCAGACTTTTATGAGGATCCAGTGCTTTTGCTCGGCTGTTCACAGACTTTTGCATAGCTTGACATTTCATTTTCTGTTTCTCCAGCCAATAAATTCCTTCTTTGTCCCCTTCCTTTTTGTTATCTTGGGCATATCTATATGGAAAAAAAGTTAGTGATGAGCCCATGTGGACTGCCAGACCACATGCTAGGGGGGAATTTCACTTTTGTAGTCCTCCAAGGAGAAAAAGCAAAATTTCAGCTGTACAAGTGTGCAGTTTCCAAAGCAACTGGGAGACAGAGGAAGACTTAGCAAAGAAAGAAGACAGAGAAACATTCAAGTATAGTTGATGTGATGAGGGAAACACTGGTGTTTTTTCCTCCACATTGGTCAGTAGTTGTACAGTCTTGTGGACAAACTTTCTACCTACCTAATAGCTGATTCCCTCTTTCTAGTTGCATCTGTAATATGCACAGGAAGGGTGTTGGAAGAGAGAGAGGAAAGTCCAGGCAGAGAGTAACTTTTTTGCACTGAAACCTTGGAAAGCTTCTGAGAATCCTGAAAGAAAGGAAACTTCATTCAGTGTATTTGTTCACAGACAGTTGCTAGTACAGAATCTCCTCTGTTATGTGCCTACCAAAGAGAACAGCTGGGCTATGAGAATGCACTCACTCTTCTCTCTTCCATCAGCAGAGATTTACATGTGGATGGGCTGAGGGACAAGGGGAAGGAGACATGATTAGAGCTATGAAAGGGTGACTGAGCCTTAGCTGTCATAGCTCATTTTGTGTAGAATTTTGTTCTCTTGTTTGGCCTAGAATTCTGCAGTACTCTCAATACAAGGGCAGATGTCACAGAATGTTAACTATTAATAATTAAATGCTATAAACTTGAGAAGTTGATATCTTGCTAGGAGAAAGCAGTACCACTGAAATATCCAGCTATCTCACCTTTATATTTTCATTAGCCTGCCTCTGCCTGGCATGGAGATTGGAGGTTCTCAGCTTGAACGGCTTATTACGAGTTGGCTCTTTGACTTCTTGTCTCCTTACTGTTTTCCTCTGAAATGCCCAGTAAAGTTCTTCAAAATCTGGTATTGCTGGATTAATCCTTGGTTTGAAGCTGAAACTTTTGTCCTGTAAGAAGCCAAGTTTTTCCTGCTTAGTTCTGGTGGCAGTTCGGGACTGAGGCTCCCTCCGACAGTTGCTGGTATCTATAGGAGCTACAGAGCTCGCGAGCAAATCCTTTGCTCTCATTTGAATACGGATTTCCCTGCAGAGTTCGGCTTCTAAAGGATCAAAAGGAAAGCAAAGAGAAGAGTATGAGTGACATAAAAATTGCCACCACCCAAGTCTAAACTTTCCATTATGATGACAGCTACAGATATAGGAGAGACCAAACATCCTGTGCTCTCCTTTCCCCCTTTTTCAGCCCCTCTCTCCTCTGCCTCCTAGGGAAAAATAATTCAAAGATACCAGTAAAACCATGGTAGGGTCTCTTTCTTAGGCATTAATTTCTAGATATCTCTTATTGGACAATAATTCAACAGGAATTCTCCTATTCTTAAAGGTACCAGGTAACTTGTGCCCTTTGTCTCCTTTGTCTTGCAGAAATATTAATCTTCCATACTAGTCCCATACCTTTTATATGGGACTTTCAGCTATGTTGACTGTGTGGTACAAATGAATCGTTCAAGTATACTTGTAACAGATGATGGCTTTTCTATGTAATGACTTTTTCTACTTTTTCCAGCATTAATTGTCTATATTGGAAAAGCCTTTAAGTAAGGAACATTTGATGGATAGATCATATTCAGTGACTTTCGTGGCAAACTTTCTATAGAATATGTTTCAGATTATAGCATCAAACTGAAGTCCTTCCCTGTGCAGCACTAAATATTTATGAAAATGCAGACAGTTGGCTGAGGGTTGTTTTTTTTGCTTTTAGGGAAAAAAATCAATACTGCTGTTTGCAAAATAAGATGGTTTTGATTCAATTTATAGGTACTCATTGCCTGAACTATGAAATGTTCATTTCTCCTCCCTTCTCATATACCAGACAGAAATAGATCAATGGTTTGTCCTTTGCTGCCTTTTACCTTTCTAATCTATGTAGGTTAAAACAGAATGTTTTCTGATGAAAACTGAACTGGAGTATCCTCAAGAAGAAACCACAGAAACAGTAAAAAAGGAGAAAAGAATGAGAAAAGCCATGAGAATTATTAAGGACTGGCTTAGTTCCCACATTCAAGCATGAAGTCTGAATTGCTTACTTCAAACTTTCAACTGCAGTGGCTTAAGTCATCTGAAAGCAGGCAAGCATCAGTAACATTTCCTTGGCTTCCTGACCAGAATGGTCCTGGGCACCTCCTTTCCCTGTTTTAGCAACTGAGCCAGTGCAAGTGGGAAGGCCACGGGAAGCATCACAGAATGGCATGAAAGACTGGACTACTACACTATCACTTAGAACCAAACTAATTGCCTGATTTGGGCTCAGGAAATATTTTTCTCCCTTCCTAGGGGTTCTGTGCAGAATGGATCACTTGAATAGGAGTAAAATTGCCAAATCTAAGATACTGCATGGACCTTGGAGACCTATGGCACTACACCTGTCTTCATGTTTGTGCCACAAATCATCTCAGTCCCTTTAGAGTAATCAGAGGTATGGAATCCAGTGTAGGGAAAGATTCCCAGACTGTCACAATCTGCAGCAAAATGGATATGGAAATCTGTCTGTAGAGCTCAATGTGCCCATGTTTTCTGGGGACTGGAACAGAACTGCTGTTGCTGACACTCATACAGAACTACTGAACTTAGGGCACTCTACTGCAAGGGTATCTAAACAAAATGTAATGACCAGTGACACACAGGAGACTCAACAACACCAGGGGATGCTGGCCTGAGGCTCCAAGTGATGCCCTACGAGCCATGATCTTACCTCCCAGCACAGAGGCAGCAAGGGACAGGCAGGGAGGTGCTTTTACACAAAGAGCCCTGGCATGTTACCTTTGAGTTTATCTCCAAGAAGTGAGTCATAAGTAGATTTAGGAACTTTTTTACTGGCTTGCTTCTGTTTGGAGCTCTCATTTGGGGTTGCTGCTGCCAGGAATTTTTGTCTGATAGCTTCTTTCTTTTTCTCTTCCTTCTCCAGAAAACTGAAGGGCCGCTGTGTTGAAAGTAGCAGCTCCTTTCTTTTCTGTGTTGCTGCTTGCCTGCGAATCTCATTCTGCTCCATTATTTCCTGATAAAGGGGCAGAAACACGTGGGCAGGTACAGGCTGTGCCCGGAATTGTTTCTGGCATTCAGCTTCATCCTGGCTTTGCCTTTTGTCTCTCTCTTTGTCTAGTTCAAGAAACATGTACGACTTCATCAACTCGGACTTTTTGCGAGCTTCCCGCAGGGTCATTTTGAAAGGCTGAGGGATGGTGATGGAAGGAATCCAGGGAGATGAAGCGCTTTTTGGCCTCAAGCGGGACTTAGGAAACAAGTGAGGCTTTTGCTGATCCCAGGTACTGTCTGAGGTGAGGTCGGTCAAAGAACTGGACTGCCTTATGTTACCAGATGTATGACTAAGACAAACACATTATGAAGGGGAAATTAGTGACATTATTAAAAAACAGAGTTAAAAGAAGGGAGACACTACTGATTAAGAGAAAGACACCGCAGGCTGAGCTGGCTGTTAAAAGACAGGCCTAGTGTTTGTCGTTCTCAGGCTCCATATTTCGCTTTGCTACCCAAGTTTGTGAGCAGAGCTTTGCTTGTTTTGTTTTCCATGTATAAAATGGAAGTTATGCCTACTTAGCTTTGTCATGCAATTTATTTTGCTGCGAGCACTCTATTGCCAGAAAGGCCACAAGCAAACCATAAAGTTCCAGCTTTAGGGTTATCCTGCTAATAGCTACTCAACATACGAATGCAGGAGAACAATCAGGCACACAGATGCACAAATCCCAACAAACAGTACCAAACACTAGCATTCCTGGGGTGCTGATGGGAATGTCATTACAAGAAACTGCTTTAGTGTGATGTTTGAGAGGTTCAGCTAGAAACTTTGTACCTGAGAAGACGACCATATTATTGATAATAAGGAAAAAAAAAACCCACCTGAGACTATTCTGGGTCTCATTAAAATAGCAAACTTCTCATAGGATGTCTGAGGGTGATTGTGAAAGTGAGTGAAACTTAGATTTTAGGGAAGGAATAAATGCAGGCAAAAGGAAGGATCAAGGTGAAGCAGAGTGGATCAAGAACAGCAAAGGGGAAAAGAGCGTGGGAGACAGAAGGTGCAGATCGTGTGTGAACAGACTCCTGGTCAATACACTTGCTGGTAATTGCTGCAGTCTCTTCTTCATAAACTTTCTTTTAAGAGTGCATGTGTGACCTGCTAGTGAATGCAAAGCTAGATTAACCACAAGGAAAGTCATCGACCTTGGGAAGACCACAGCTCTGAAGACTGGACACTGGATAGAAACGTGTGTCATCTGCTGGCACGTTTCAAGCGTGATTAGCTGATGAGCGAGGCAGGGATTTGTGCTGTTCTTGTTTTATGTGAAAGCTGCTTACGTGGGCACCTACTGACCCCGTCCTCCCTGCTGTGACTACGCTTGTGGCCAGTGTTCTGGCACTATGCACGTGCATTTTGGGACATCTTGCTCCGCCTCCTCCCTGGCCAGAAGGAGAAGGAATCCTGCACCCCATCCTGCCGTCCTTACCAGGTATCGTCCTACCTGAGAGCCTCCCTCAGCTTCTCACGCAGAACTTCCGCCTCCCTCCTGAAACCCTCCAGCTCCTCATCTTCTTCGAACACCCCGAGGTCACCCCATAACTCTGCCTGGCACGGTACGCCCGGCTCTAACGGAGACCGCCGGCCCCCCATCCCGATAGGATGCTCCTTGCCCGGTGGCAGGAAACGTAGGAGTCGGCGTGTTTCAGCCTGAGGGGATGTCTCGTAACCTGAAAAAAACGAAACAAATCGGGAAGCGCTGGTTCTGGGGTGCCACCCCGCCTCCCCGCCCGGGAGCGCCGCGGCCCGGCCCCGCTCGCCCGCGGGCCGCCGCCTCACCCGCCCCGCCCCCCGGCCTGCACCAATCAGCGCGGCCAGCGCCGCTCGGGCCCGCCCCCTTGGCCTCACGCAGCCAATCAGAGGCGAGGCCGGCGGCGCGCACAGCCGTTGTCATGGTTGCGCTGCGCCACTTCCGCCGCCGTCAGTTCCGCGGCGATGGCGGCGCTGCGCGGGCGGGCGCTGCTGGCCCCGCTCGGAGCGCGGCTGAGGGCCGGGCCCCGCGCCCCGCTCCGCTCCGCCGCCTCCGCCCCACCGCTCTACGATGTGGTGGTGTCGGGCGGGGGCATGGTCGGGAGCGCCATGGCCGCCGTGCTGGGTAAGGCTGTGACCCGCTCCCCCGCAGTGTGAGATAACCGGGTGTAGGAGCTCAGTGTCCAGGATCCCGCTGAGGGATCCTTCATCCTGCGTCCTCGTGGGGCAGAGCTCTGAAGTTGACCTAGGGCTGTTTGGTGAGCTGGTCAGTGGTGAGCCTGGCTGTATCCGTGTGTGCGCACAGCTGTTAATGGGGCCATTAGCTGCAGTTTTCGAGACCGTAGTGTTTCTGTCAAACATGCTCATCCTTAAATAGCTGATGGATAATGTCACCCATAGCTGAAATGCTTTTCTGAATATAGACTCATAGGATGGGTTGGAAGGAACCTTAAATATCACCTAGTTCCACCCCCCTGTGGTGTGCGGGGTCCATAGGCCAGGTTGCTCTGAGCCACGTCCAGCCTGGCCTCAAACACCTCCAGGGTTGGGACATTTCCAGCTTCTCTGAGCAACCTGTTCCAGTGCCTCACCATCCTCACACCAAAGAACTTCCTCCTAATATCTAATCTAAACCTAGTCTCTTCCAGTTTGAATCCATTTCCCCTTGTCCTGTCACTACATGATCTTCTAAAAAGTCCCTTTTTGTCTTTCTTGTGGGCTCCCTTCAGATACTTAAGGCCACAATTCAGTCACCCCCAAGCCATCTCTATTCCAGGCTGAACGAACCCAGTTTGCTCAGTCTTTCATTGTAGGAGACGTGCTCCACCCGTCTAATCATTATTATCTGATCCCACGTTTCATTCTCTAACTCAGTATTTTAAACTCTGGAATACCAAGTTAAAATGGATTTCTGCTTGCTTTGTATCAGTAGAGATCCTAAAAGTACTGGCTGCTCCTTTATTTGCAATGTGGATTCAGAAGGGTGTAGTAGTGACAAAAGCTAAAAAAAAATAGTGCCCAGAAGAGCAAAGATCCTGAGCAAGTGCTGAGTGCTTTGCAAGTATAAGGGCTTACCTTGCAAGCTTAAGTTCTGCTTGTATTGTTAAACAAGAGCCCGGTGGATTTGAGATGGCATAAGGATCCCCTCCAGCAGTGGTATCTAAGGCTGACAAGCAGGTTTGGGACCTCTCAGGAGATGAGGTCATTACTGTGCATCATCTAGAAAATGTGCCCAGGACACTGCTGTCTTTAGGGCTGCTGTAGTAGTAAACTCCAGATGTTGCAAGGACACCACTGCTGTCCTCAGTGCCTTCTGCATCTGTAGTGGTGGGGATGCTGCTACTGTGGCCAGCTCAGCTGCAGTGTTTTGCACTTTACTTCAATCTCCTTTTTTTTTTTTTTTTTTCAGTTCTCTTTAACTGGAAGTTAAAAGTCTAAACTGCCTGTGCTATCCCATTGTCAGAATGTAAGGACAGGGAAAATATTAATGTAATTGCTATGTATCACAGAAGTTTGATTTTGATTTCCTAAAAGAAGATTGATGTTTAAGTTCTGGAAAACGTGTTCTGGAGTAAACATTGCAAATTTCACTTGATAATACTCCAGTAATAAATTTTTATTTAAAAAAATGGCGCAAATTTGTATAAAAATGTAAGCTTTATGTAAAAGGGAAATATGTAATCCCTGCTTTAGCTGCAAAAGAGTTGTCCATCTCAGTAACAGGATTGTAGTCATAAAGCTTTAACATACAAATTACCTGCCTGGTCAAAACCTGTATTGTGTATGTATTTCTTTATTAATTGTTGTGTCTATTCTGCCTTATTACAAAAACTCAGGTGTTTTATTTTTGAGATTTTTGGCAGGAGCATTGTAACAAAGCATGCATTTGCTTATTTTAGGGCATGACATCCACTTCCATGATAAAAAGATTGCTTTGCTGGAGGCTGGTCCTAGGAAAGAATATGATCACATGCCAGACAGTTACAGCAACAGGGTCAGTTCCATCTCCCCAGGATCAGCAACCCTCCTAAGCAGTAAGTATGATTTTGTTGTTTGCATTTTTAACATTTATATCTGAGCTGGTTTTGTTTGAACAAAAACCCTTTTGACCATGTGTTGCCTTCACCTTAACATCAGTAGGATTATTTGCCTTTGTCTCTACATGCTGAGTTGTGGTTATTAAATCCAGATTCTCTCGATAACAGGGAACTGTGTTCTGGTATCTTGGTCTGATTTGTTATTATATAAATATTTGTGACTTTAGGCTAGTGAAAGGTTGTAAGGTGCTCTCAACAGCACCTGGAATGTTCTATTCACAAAAGAAGCTTAGTGCTTTGTCATCTGGTAATTCAGTCCTCAGTTAATGAGGATTAATTGTCATTTTAAAGAGATATCTGAGCCTAGATTCCTTATGGAGAAAGAAATGTTCTCTACAATAATGCTGTGCATTTCTATGACTGTTTTATTACCCAGTGATGGGACAGTGAGAGTTGTCTGTTAGGTCAGAGGCTGAGGGAGTGCTCTTAATTCTTTCCTGCTGGTTTGTGTTAACAATGTGATTCTGGAGCTGTGATAGCACTGAGGCAGACCTGCCACTGTCTAGGGATGGTGCAAGCCAAGCCTGAGCATAGTCAGGGAAGAGTGGAGGAGAGTGTGGAGTGAGCTTCAGTTTAGTTTTGGTCTCAGTGTCCCATGTGAACCTGTATCTCCGTGTATTTCTGTCCTTTTTCAGGTTGTGGTGCCTGGGATCACGTCTGCAGCCTGAGACTCAAACCGTTCCGGCGAATGCAGGTGCCTTAGGGCTGCAGATACACCATGTGTCTGTCTACTCTGAATTCTCAAAAGTACTTGCATCAATGACACAAAGGTTTTTCTTTCTATGGTAAAGGGCAGGTCATACTTATGTTCATTTCTGTCCCTTTTTTTGTGGGTAGCAGTCTGCTCAGAAATACCTGTCCTCAGGATCTTGATGTTACAGGCTGAAAGTGGATTCCTAATGGCAGCTGTAGATATTGAGGCTTGGGTATTAGCCAGGAAATAAAGGTAAAGGGTGTATAGGTTTGGCTGGGATAGAGTTTCTTCTCTTCATGGTGGCTTGTATGGGACAGTGTGTCAGATTTGTGTTGAAAACTGTTGATAACACAGGGATGTTTTAGTTACTGCTGAGCAGTGCTTACACATTGTCAAGGCTTTCTCACACTGCCCTGCCAGTAGCAGGCTAGGGGTGCACAAGAAGCTGGGAGGGTACACAGGTTGGACAGCAGACCCTGGCTGATAATCCATACCATATACTGCCCTGCTCAGCAATAAAAGCTGAGGAAAAGAAGGCAAGATGGGAAGTTGGGAGTAATGGAGTTTGTCTTCCCAGGTAGTCATTATGCTTGATGGGGCCCTGCTCTCCTGGAGATGACTAAACACTTGCTTGGTCTTGGGAAGCAGTGAATTAATTCCTTGTTTTGCTTTCCTTGCACATGTGGCTTTTGCCTTTCCTATTAAAGTGCATTTACCTCAAGCCATGAATTTTGTACTTTCATCCTTCCAGTTTTCTTCCCCATCTCAGTGCAGGGGAGTAAGGAAGCAGTGGTGTGGGGCTGAGCTGCCTGCTGGGGTTACCCTACAGCAAGGTTGTAGCATAGCTTCCTATGGTAATTATGTAACAGAAAAGTAGGGATGAAAAACTTGACTTGGAATTACTTTTTTAGCTTAAGCTAAATAATTTAATGAAATTTGTTATGTGGTGCACTTTAGTAACTGGGAAGGGACAGTAATTCAGGATGTTTTGTCTAGTTCTATATTTCTAGATTACTGTGTCTTTTTGCTGTTAAGTCCCTGAAATGGACTTCTTTATCACATAGCTTCATGTAATGTATTTTTTCTTCGTAGGTGTGGGATGCTTGTTCAGAAGCCATGATCGTTTTTGAGAAAGATGACTTAGATGACATGGGTTACATAGTGGAGAATGATGTCATTATGTCTGCTCTCACAAAACAGTTAGATGCAGTAGCAGGTAGTGGACAACTTCTTCAATGTTTTATTTCCTGCAGATAGCTTTCAGTTACTTGCCTTCTATTGTGTGTTAAGTCTTGAGAGGGAGAAATTTGTCTAACAGGTAACTCTTGAGAATGGGAACCTTCTGGAATTGGGAAGGAGGGAGAAATCTGACTTCCAAAGGCTACAAAGCAGGAAAGCACTTGCATATGTAGTTCTTCAGGATACAGTCTCTTCAAAATTGGACTTAATTAAAAAAATCTCTACCTCCTTGTCCAGAGCAGGCCTTGCAGTGGCAAGGGGTTGTCCATATCTGTTTTTTCAGGGTGCCTTGAAAATTGTAGGGTGAGCTCCTAAGGTGCATGGCCTTGGCTGTTGTAGCAATGTTTCTTTTTTTCCTGTCCGTGTCATGCTGTGACCATGGTACTCTGTGTTCCCATCAGACCGGGTGGAGGTTTTCTACAGGAGCAAAGCAGTTGGGTACACCTGGCCCCTTCCTTCCCATGGCTGTGACACAAGCCCTTGGGTCCAAGTTGAGTTAGCTGATGGACGCAGACTTCAGACCAAGCTGCTGGTAACTAAACTCTTTATTTCCATTGATAAGGCATCATTTCTAACCCAAGTCCTTTCCACTGGATTTGGTTCCAATTCCATGTGTGCCACTCCACCCACATGGAGTGCTAGAGTGAGGTGAGTGGCTAACCCTGGCAGGGAGGGTGTGGGACACTGGGCATGGCCTTCTCTGCCTGGTACAAGGAGATGCTGCTGAATTTGAGAA